GAAATTCGCTTTTACTCTTCCCTTGCTTTCTAGTTGCTTTACTCTATTTCTGTTTACCATATTCACATTGTGTTCTTTGCAGTTTTATGAGTTGGTTGATAGTGATTGATGGTTTTGTGGACAGAGTTCAGACAACATGCGTCTTCTCCTCATTGCTAAAAAGCAGAGGGGGAGTCCCTGTTTAAGGCCCTGTCGGCGTTTTTCTTCAGTTTTATCGGTTAACTTTTAGCCTAAAATTACATTATCAACGATTTTCACCTCGCGAATTCGGTCTGGAATTGTTGCTTTAGCGGTTCTCTTAACGGACTTATGAAGCAAGTAAGTGCACTGATAGTGTCCCGATCTCGCAAACAGTAGGTCGTGGGAACAGTTCCTCGGAGACTCTGTTTTTTGGTTCTTCTTGACAACATAGTCGGAACGCCTTCTGACTTCTTCTCTTCGTCAACATTTCACATTAGTTGCCCCGTAGAGTGCGAGCAGTTCCTTGCAAGCTTGGGTAGTATTTGTCCATGTGTGCCCCTGGTCACCGTAGTGCATGTGTCAGGCTTTTTCGCAGGCGAAACAGACGTGATATTCGTGTTCAGATGATCAAACTACAGCTGGAGACAAGTTCCCTACTAAATCTGAGATTTTGACCGAACTTATGAGTCAACCATCATATCATCAACATATCGTTGATGGGAATTGTCCTTTCAACCAAGTTTCCGAAAAAAGAAACATTCAACTGGCTAATGGAAATGATTTACATAACTCTGTATCCAAAATTCAGGTGAAGTGCTTTTCCAGATTAGTTTTCGATTCATACCTTCTCTCGTTTGACTGTATGTTGACTGCCCTTTCTCGAGTGTAGGTCAAAATCTCAGATTCAGCTGGAAACTTGTAACCAGGGGAAATTCGGTCTCCTGAACACGAATATCATACTCTATCGTACTTTGCCGCAAAATGCCTTACTAGTGAGCTACGATCGTCGTTTCCAATAATGGCAAATGGTGTCTCAATCTGCAGCCGGGTGCTCGCTAGCTCCTTGCACAGGCGAGAGAATGCAGGCATTGACGAAATGAGATCGCTGGCAGCCTTTTGAGACATGTTGTCAAAAAACTAGGATAACGCGCACGGTGAGGAGCCGACCCCGTGACCTCTCGCCTACGAGTCTGGAGCGCTACCACTTACGCCATCGGAAGATCCGTAGCTCCGTTCAGAGTAGCGGTTTGCGGATACGGAAAGCTGTTCCTAGCTCATCGCCCCAAGACGAATTCATAACTGAACACCTCATTGCAAATGAGCCGGACCGAATGATGACCTTTTCTGGTTAGATGATCCCTGGCGAATGTTGAAATTATAGCCTAACATTGCTGCAATTAAAAAAAAAGCTAAGATATGGTTATTACGTAGAAAGTAGGAACGCCACGGTCGCCCAATGATGATCACTTCCACATCCACGGAGGCCATAGCCTCTTCGATTAGCTGAAGGTTAAAGGCAATTAAAGGCTCAGACCCACTTAGTGAGCCTTTACTGTGGCTAGAAGCGCTAGGTACGCAAGTGCAGAGGTCGCGTCACTTCCCTACTTCGAAAAGCGTTACTTAGACGCTAGGCGCTAAGAACTTTGACACGCTCCACCTGTTGCGACACGCTCCGCCCACCGCTCGATATCTTGTCTGCGTCGCTAATGTTGATCTGCTATGCTCTCTCTACTCGTACTTCTCTAGCGCTCTCCGCGCTCACATTATCTCTCATCTCCCTGCCGGCCTTTTGAACTTCTCCGCAGCGTAGAGCAAAAGGCTCGTATTTCCTGTGTATTTCACGATTTTTTTCCTTTTTTCTCCACTGGCGGTCCACTTCCTACCCCTACTTTCACATTTGAGTGGAATTACCTCATCTAATTATTCCTGAATCTTGCCTTTAAGCATAGAGGAAACCTGCGCTATAAAAGCTTGGGAACCTATGGAGAAAAAACCTAATTTCAAACAGGAACACTTAACCGAAAATCGTTGGACTAGTTTATTTTGTCGTGACTGACTGTGGTAAAACTTAAAGGCACAACCCAGGCAGAGGTCGTGTGAACGCTTCTCTTCGGTCTGTAGTATAGACCCTAGAGGACAATCACAAATGTGGCGTTCTCGTGCACGGAAACCAACCGACAAGAGCGCTTGGGCCTTGCAAAGTAAGCTGCCCAAGCTGCAGACTTTTTTCTCTTATCAGGCTGTTGTCTGGCGCTCTCTCATCTGTAGCGCTCTCTCGCCTCATACTCTCCTCTCCGCGCTTAGTCTCTCATTCCCTTAGCACAGCCGATTAGGAAGGTGAGTGAGCCCTTAACCTAAGCGTTTTCGACGGATTCTTTTCCTTTTTTCTTTACTGCCGGCCCACTTTCGCACCAATACATTCACATTCGTGTGCAAGAGCCACACCAATGTGATCCTGGGGCATGCCTTTAAGCGTTCCGAATTGTTCAGACGGAATCATTCACAATCTCTGGATAAATCCGCACATGGAAGCTTCCGGCAGTGATTAGGAAAGATTAGATTGAAAGGCCTAGTATAGCTTTACATGGAAACTTTATGTGAATGGACGAAGCAAACGGCTTACAAGTATGAAGGCTGAATCGGTTACGAGAACATTCCAAGCGAGCTGTGAGCGGTAGAGGCTTGCTGGAGAAGGAGCATTGCTTGATAACGCGTGCTGACCTTCATTAAACAATAAGCGCCAAGGTGTGATGATCCGCTCTGCACGCTTCCGGTCTTAGCTTTGTCCCTTGCAATTTGCGGTTCTCCACTGCAGCACATATTGTCATGCCAGGGAGTACTATCGGGCCAAAACACGGATCATTATTTGTTCGCCTTCGGCCGCCTCGAATACCGTGACCCGCGGTGGCGCCGGAGCGCACCTGCGAGCCTCCAGCGTGCAACGCTAGCAGAAACCATAGGGCAGCGCCCGCAGTTAATGAGATTACCCTGGTTTTCCCGGGTCAGCAACCCAAAAATGGAGCAACGTAGCAGCGTTCGCTCCGCCGCTGCCGCCGCGAGGCTGAACGCTGCGACGGCACGAAAGGTCATCCCTGGGGTGCCGCTTCGTCGTGCGCGATGCCAACCCAACATGCGCGCCATCCTCCTGCATGATCGGCGCACGCTTCGCGGGTTCGCTCGACACATTTCTCTTCGTTGAAGAGGACACAGAGAACGGAGAACTGGGAGAGAGCCGAGAACAAGCATGCACAAAAAATTGATGGAATGGAATGTGCGATATAGAGTTGCGCATGCGGTAGAGTGCTTTCTGTGCGCCTGCACCACTAACACAGAAATTGACGGCGATTTTTCCGCGTGTCGGGTTACGGTATTCGAGCGCCTAAAGGGAACATTATATAATCACATGCGATAAACGGGCATCTTCATAGAAGTGATACAGTAGCGATTCCTGTATCTACAAGGGAGGTCTTTCAGGGCAAGGTGCGCTTTTCAAAACGGTTTTGTGCATATTGTAGGGACGCATGTAGGGAACGCAAAACCATGTTTCATTTTCGCTGAACGGTTATAGCAGTACCAAAAAGAAGCATAAGGTACTGTTAAGGGTTCGATCCCCCGTGGCGACTAAATTTTGCATTTGGGTTGGCGCCTACGGTTTGGTGCCAAATCGCGCTAAATATCAAAATCAGATGTCAAATTCATCGTCAGGACCATTTTGAAGCCAACAAGTGGCCGCCAACCTTGATTGCAAAATTTAGTCGCCGCGGGGATTGAACCATCAAGAGTATTATTCACCACTTTTTTGGTACTACTAAAACCGTTCAGCGAAAACGAAACATGGTTTTGTGGTCCATACATGCGTCCCTACAACATGTACTAAACCGTTTCCAAAAAGCGCACCTTGCCCTGAAAGACCTCCCTTGTAAGACTTCAATGATTTTTTTTTGCCAGCCACAAGTTTGTAAGTTTCCTCCACAACTTTGTAGGTGTTCCCCACCAGTTTGTGATTGTTGCACGCAAATTTCCTCGGAAAAGAGGGTCCAAAGTGGGATGGTAAGGGCCAGGTTGTAAGGGTCATGGAAAATATCACCCACTGAGGATGGGGATGCATCCAAATGAGCAGTGCCGGCGACAACATTGTCCAATTCGATGCCAGAACAATCCAGAGACCAGGAGAACTTGGTAATCGTGTGCGGCAGTCTGCTAGGTGTCATACTGTATCGAACTTCGAGTTTGGTTCCCTGCGCTATCGCGAACTGGTGCAACCTGTGGAAATTAACAT